TTGGACATCTAAAACCCAATCTTCACCAAACCTGGAGGGACTGTAGAGGAAAGTCAGGGAAAACTTCTCAGCAATTTTCGTGCCTCTCGGTAGCTGGGGGGCAGTTTTGCTGTTTAGTCTTTAAGTCTTGTCCGACTTTTTGGGACCCCATGGATCAGAGCATGCCAGGCCCTCCTGTCTTCCACTGCCTCCCAGAGTTTGGTCAAATTCATGTGGGTCGCCTCAATGACACTGTCCAACCATCTTGTCCCCTGTTGTCCTCTTCTCCTCTTGCCTTCACACTTTCCTAACATCAGGATCTTTTCCAGGGAGTCTTCTTTTCTCAGGAGATGGCCAAATATTGGAGCCTCAGCTTCAGGATCTGTCCTTCCAGTGAGCACTCAGGGTTGGTTTCCTTTAGAATGGATAGGTATGCTCTCCTTGCAGTCCAGGGGACTCCTCCAGCACCACAATTCAAAAACAGCAATTCTTCGGTGGTCAGCCTTCTCTATGGTCCAGCTCTCACTTCCATACATTGCTGCTGGAAAAACCACAGCTTTGACTATGCAGACCTTTGTCGGCAAGGTGATGTCTTTGCTTTTTAAGATGCTGTCTAGGTTTGTCATTGCTTTTCTCCCAAGAAACAGGCGTCTTTTAATTTCGTGGCTGCTGTCACCATCTGCAGTGATCATGGAGCCCAAGAAAATAAAATCTGTCACTGCCTCCCTATCTTCCCCTTCTATGTGCCAGGAGGTGATGGGACCAGGAGGTGATGGAACCAGAGGGGCTGTTTTATACAACATAAAAATGCACTGATTCTTATTAGTTGGGGGGGCATCAATTCAGACAAATACAAATTAAGTAGCAATTTTGATGCAATTTTGCCCATCTCTATTCTTGTGTATGTGTGCACTAAAGAAAGCAGTATACACAAGTCTATAATTTCAGGCAACTATAAGGAAATAAATGCTTGTTACACTTTCTCCTATAAATGTCTCATAGTTAATTATTGTGACTTTATCTGCCAGTTAATGAGAAATGGGATGGAGTCTCGGGAACTTGCAGCTTATTCTTTGTGGATTTCTGTACACTTCTGTTCCATAGCAAAAAAGATTTTTTCCAGAAACTCAAAACTCTGCAACAATATCTTGTGATTTCATTATGAAAATCTAGCAGAAACTCTTCTATGTTTCTGCCAGAATGAGCAACAACAATATTTGGCTTCTGTCAACAAATTATTAGATGAAGCTTCTTTGTTATCATCCACATATATTTCATAATTAATTTCTTAAAACTTGCTATTTTAGAGAGTATTATAAAATCCATTCCTTATATTGGTTTCTAACGGACAAGTAACTTTTAGATTTAAAACAACAATTTTTTTTAAATATGGCCAAGCCTCCTAAGTGAGCCCCCTGTGACTAATTCAAATAGTGTAAAATGTTGATTGTTACACAACCTGCTAACACCACTTTAACACCTATCCTGTTAACCTCTGTGGAATTTAAATTGTCATTGCACTCGTCATAGCAGGGACCTACAGCTGCTTTCAGAACTTGAAAACAAATTGTCAAAAGCCCAGAGACCTTTGGGTAGTGTAGGTGGCATATAAAATAAATAAATAAATAAATAAATAAATAAATAAATAAATAAATAAATAAATAAAATAAATAAATAAATAAATAAATAAATAAATAAATACAGTAAAAGCAAAATACATTTCACTGTGTTCCTTATGAAATTTGGGTTAGCATATTAGCTGTCAAGACTAAACAGTAATAGGGATGTAGATTCACCACTGGTTGCAAAAGCATGTTTTATGTTATCAATAGTTCCTTACTAAACTGGAACAAAGTTTGAATTGAGGGGGCCCATGGTTGAGCCCTTGGTCCAGGACTCATTAACATAGTGATCAGTGACTTAGGTGAAGCCATGGCAGCATCCCTCATCAAATCTGCAAACAACCCCAAACAGAAAGAAGCAGCTAGTGTTTCAGCAAAGAATAATAAGACGATCTTGATGGAGTGGAAAACTGGTCCAAAGCTCACAAATCAAATTCAATACAGATAAATGTGAAATTTTGAAATTATGAGATAAAAATAAGGTAAAGAATTGTGGATTGGCCTAGCTGTAGTGCATATGAAATGGATATTCTATTACAATTACAAATGGAATATGAGTCAGTAGTGTGCTGCGGATGAAAAAAAGGGCTAATGCAATGTTGGGCTGTATTGATAGATCTTTTCAGAGACGTATGAAAAATCTGTCCAATGACAAAAGGGTAATGGAGTTGGCTATTTGTTTATCCTGCATAAAACATATGCAATGGAGGGAGAACTAATAAAAAAATTCATATGCTGTAGATGAAAGTAAAGATTTGTTCTTCTCTGTCCCATAGGACTAAATGAAATGACTTAGAGAAGTGGTTCCTGGGAATGTTGTTGGGCTTCACATCCCAGAATTCCCAGACAACAAGGCCAATAATGAGGAATTCAGCAAGCTGTAATCCAATAACATCCGATGATCCACAGGTTGGGAACCTCTGAGTTCTCCTTTGCCAGAGTTGAAACAGTGATTTTTTAGGGAAGCTGCTGCTCTCAGCATTCTGAATTGTGAAGGGTTGGACCAAATGCAAGGCCATTTGTGATCCCATGAATAACACTGATTTCCGTTTATTACCGTTGCATTTCTGGAAATGTCAGTGGTTGAAACCAGATAGTGATTGTCCAAGCTGTCTCACAACCTGAGAAGCACCACCACATAATCCCAATTGTATCATCATTGCTCTCCACAGTTCTTTCAGAGCTGTGCCTGAGCAATCAAATCCCATGTTTATCTCCCAATGTCCAATTAAAAAGCAAAAGCAAGCTAATTATGGAGCTGAGGGACACTTATGCTATGATAAACCAATGCCCTTCACTTCTTTATAAGCTGTTTTTAGCTACATGCTAACTTCAACTGCTAATTTCACCCCAGGAGCCAATGTGGATGCTACTTCTGGTGGTGGCAGTGGCAGTGCAATGGTGATGGCACTGCACATTCCCTTTAAGGTGGAAGAGGATAGTACAGCCTGACTTAGCTTTACTGTGTGAAGATTGCCCCTTCACACATGCCTGGCACTATGGAAGGACTAATTAGCAAAAATGCCACTGATCTTCTTAATCACTCCTCCATGCATGATCTGACTCAGGATTCTGACTCAGGATTCTTGGAGCCAAGCATTCAGGAATACCTAGAGCTCAGCCATCCAACCATCTTTCTTGTCTACCTCCTCTTCCACTTAAGAGGGTATATTACATTATAATGCTGCCTACTACCACTGCATTTTTGGTTGGGTAACTAAAGGGAGATCCTGTTGCCACCACTGCTTGGACTCTTTCCACTTCTTTCTCCATTCTTTAAGATAGAGTGGGGAGGGGAAAGCAGATACTAAGACATCCTTATTCTGGGAAAAAGGGAGTGGGGTTGATACAGTCACAGCCATTCTTCTTAGGCAGCATTGAAGAGGAAATGGGATGGCTAATGCTGCAGTGTTCTCCTCCTCCCTCCCCAGTGAGGTGTGCAGTGAGGCTTGGTGCTGGTATGGGACTTTAAGTCGGCTCTGACTATCAGGCAATAAATAATTTTAAAAGAATGTGATCGCATTATGGAATATGAGTGCATCGTCACGGTATCGTATTCTGCTGTTGTTTTTTTTTACTGCAACCACCATAGAAAGCTGCAAGTCTCTCTCTCTCTCTCTCTCTCTGTGTGTGTGTGTGTGTGTGTGTTTCCCCATATATAATGAATGAGTATTTCAGGCTTTTCTATTTCTCTTCCACTTTCTGAAAACAACACCCTTCAACTACACTACTTACTATTCTTCATAGTGTTTCTTAACAATCTTTCCAAATTGAAGAAAATCATTCTAGAACATGAGGACCACCACATGGCAGTTAGTTTTAATGAAATGTTTTCGACACTAATTCCAGGTTATGCTGGTGCAAAGTTACACCCACAGAATTTTTCCTATTAATCTTCAGTTCAACTTTTTATTTTTCTTTAAAAGCCCTCAAATGATCTCCCACTAAAACTTTGGGAAGCTGCTTCCGGTTAGTGGCAACAATAATGGCTGAGAATAGCCATCCACATTGTCTTATTTCACTACAAGGCAGCTTCATGTGTTCATATTATTGCTGCTTCTCCCAAAGAGCTACTGCTTTGATACCCAAGGGTAATTCTGAAATGCACTGTTCCTTGGTGATAGTTCTTGATTTAGCTGAAGGCAGCTCTATCAGTCATGACACCCAATGGAAATCAATTATGCTATCCACATTCTCTTTCATTACCCTTTGGAATTTCTCCATCCTTCACTTTGTATAGTGGATCACAACAAAGCATAAGACATAAAATCATTCATCCACAAAGTTTTATCTCCTAATGTAATTGTACAATTTCTAGGAATTTTATATTTGATCTGCCATAAACAAAGGTTTATTCTAATGCTTCTCTTATTCACAGCTTCGAATGTTACTTCTGTAAGAAGAATTAATTCCCGTTATTTGTTTTTGTGAAATGTGGGATTATTATTTTTTTGTTAATCAATTCACATTAGTCATTACAATGCTTGAAAAATAACTCACTGTGTTGCTCACAGATTTGCATTATGTTTTAGCAAGGGAGAAATATTGAGATTCCTAAGACAGCAACATAAAATATGAACAATATTGTCAAAATGTCACTAAAAATACCTGATGAAATAACCCTTAAAAAGAAACTAGAAACTATTACTTGCGACATCAATAAGTAACTCCGTCCCTACTTTTTTCATTACTTTTGAAATGTAACTTTTTCACCCTCTCACCACCAAAGTAATTTACTAACAGAAAACTGTATCTATAACTCATTACTTCGAAACTCACATCTTATCTACATGCATACACTTCAACGGTGAATTGTAAACATGCACATATAAAAATGAAAATTTGCGTTATGTCTTTTATTTCACCAGTGCATAATAAATGCCGCACTCAGGTGCTTACCGAGAAGCCGCAATCTCAGACTTCTGTCTGGCAATGGCTGCTGCCCTTTGAGCTCCTTCCACACTCCGGTCCACTTTCTGCCTTATCTTAGCACTTTTCAGAGGTATCACCCGTTTCTTCATGCCTTTGATCAGGACGTTCATTCGGTATTTCCCTTCTTCCTTCTTACCATCAGGCAATGTGGTGCATCCATATCCGTGACGTACATTATCCAGCCATTCGCCCTCGTACTTCAGGCCACTTGATCGCTCACTCACACCAAACCCTGAACGCTTGTCATTCTTCCACTCACCCATGTAGGACTCTGTCGTGGTGGCATCAATATCAGCATCAAAAGGTGGGAAGTCCTCTCCCTCTGCTCCTTCTCCCAGACTGGCTGTAGAAGTGGCATCACTACCGGTGGAGCTCATACCACTCTCACTTTTGAGGAAACTCAGTCGACTCCTTTGGCTAGCCAAAGAAGTCTTAGAATCAGATTTTTTCAGCTTCCCAAACAAGGAGCTCCGTCGGAAGAGCCCTCCTTTCTTCAGCTTGCCAGCCTCAGCGTCTGCATACAAACTCAGGGCAAACCCACCTCGTGTGATTGTTGGCAACATAGGGATGTTCTCTTGATTGGCTGATGGGGAATCGTGTTGCAGAAGGGTGCCATTGCTGTGTTCACTACGGAGGGAGGTAAGTGAGGTCCTTAGAGGGTTACGGACTACAGCTGCTATGCCATAAGGAACACTTTGCCGAACACCATAACCATGGCGCATGCCATTGGTGAACTGGCCTTGATAAGTACCTAGAATAAGAAACAAGAGACATTAGATATACCATATTTCCTCCCCTCAGTGATGTTGGGCCTAGGCTGGAAGCCCTAGAGCAACACTACAGATGTTGTTTAAAAAATGGGCCCTGCATATTTTGTGACAAAGAGCAAAGTACAAAGTCTCATTCACAAGTAGAGGGAAAATGAACTGAGCTCTGCCTTTACAAGGCATAGTTGTTCTCCAGCCAGCCAACCACTCTTCTCTATCTGCTCACAAAATGGCCCTTTCTACACACACCTTATAGACACCTAAATGTGGCTTGCCTGGAAAAATAGTCCTAGAAGACTTTGAGGCTCGGCTATGCCTAGGTCCTACCCAGCTTCCTATTTGTGCCCTGTTATTAGCTGAGAGTTTTCTTTCTGAACAAGAAGCCAGGTGGAGGTCAGCCTAGCTCAGCCTCAGTTCAGGCCTTTCTGTCAGGTGAGACACATTTAGGTGTCTGTTAAGTCAGGTAGACCTCCCAGAATGGAGAATTATTGAATTTTTGCTCCAGAAATCCCACTCCTAGTCCTTTATATTAGTGAGTAGGAAAATAATTGTGCTGCCTGAGGATTCTGGCTGAAATCTAGTATAAAACTGCATGCAAAGTAATCCCATGGAATCAGTGGAATTTACAGAGTAGCTGACTCTTCAAATCCCCACTGATTCAATGGGCCTACCATTGGATTTCAGCCTCTGAGTTTCCTCATGCTAACTTTTCTAGGTGCTAGCTAAATAAGACTAAATGTCAATCTGTGGTGGCATTGGGTTTCTGTGATGGCCAGTTACATGCTTCCAGCAAGTGCAGAAGTTGATCATGGAGGCAACAGCTCTCATTTTTCATTCAGAATTAGTATTCTTATTTAATGGTATGGTGTCTTTGAATCTGGAAAAGGAGAGCATAATACCCACAGTGGTAAATAACCATTTATTGGCCTATGCAGTCCAGTGTAATGGTTAGTTTTTGACTGGGAAAGAGCGATCCAGAATCTAGTCCCCACTGACTAATACTGGGCCATTCATTTTCTTTCAGTCTGATCTACCTCACATAGCCGTTGTGAACATAAAGTGGGGAGCAGAAGAACCACCGAACGTATCTTAAATTCACTGGAGAAATGGTGGGATATAAACGTAACTTGCAAGTGAAAACTTGTCTAATTCAGCTGTAAAGGTACCTAAGCAAATCATCATCACCACACCAGAGTGGATGCCGTAAGTTAAATAAGCATTGTGTGGGGAAAGGACATCCTTTTGTCAGTTCTGAATCTACATTCTACATCCAATGAATTTAATTTTCATTTTTTTTGAGCTACCAGTTTCAGAACATCACACAAGAGGTGCAGCTCTGCAATAGCACAGGGGACTTGGAGGCAGAACCGTGGTAGCTCATTGACATGTTGCCGGTTAGCCATAACCCAGTCAAAACTGGTAAATGTGTCAAGTGTAGATTTATTCAGAAAGTACCAAGAAGTTTATTATTTTTATAGATGGGAAAACTGGGTGTTTTCAAGAGCCAACTTAAGACTTGGCTCTTCAGGCAGGTCTTCCCTCCCATCAATACTTGATTCCTATTTTCTGTCTTAATTTTCTTTATATATTTCTCCATCTTGAATGATACTAACATCACTGATTTAAATTGTTGTTTAATTGTTTTATGATATTTTTATTGTAAGCCACCCAGAGTAGACGTAGTCTAGATGGGCAGGATATAAATTGAATGCATGAATGAATGAAAATATATGTATGTATGTATGTATGTATGTATGTATGTATGTATGTATGTATGTATGTATGTATGTATGTATGTATGTATGTATGTATGTATGTATGTATGTATGTATGTATGTATGTACTCAAGGTGATTCCAACTTCTGTCGACCCTTTCCAGGGTTTTCTAGTGTTTTACCATTCCCTTCTTCTGGGGGGGTTTCTGTACTGTGCAGCTTGCCCAATGCCATACAGGATGGCTCTACTCAAAGGAGGCACAGTGGGGAGTTGAACTCCCAACTTCTACCTAAACCACTGAGCAATCCAGCCAGCACATTGTCATTCCTATCCCACCTTTTTACCATTACATACATAGTACTTGTGGCTTATGAATATCATAAAATATAATGAAAACAAGTAAAACATTCAACCATAAAATCATTACAATCAAAATGAAACACAACTATAAAGTTGTACAAAACACCGGTAAGGGCGCACTTCAAAATATACAGTTCTGGTCGCCGCACCTCAAAAAAAGACTGGGACTAAAAAAAGAGTGGAACTGGGAAAGGTGCAGAAGAGAGTGACTAAAATGATGACTGGACTGAGGCACCTCACTTATGAGGAAAGGCTACAGTGTTTGAGGCTCTTTAGTCTAGAGAAAAGGCACCTGAGGGGGACATGACTGAGATGTAAAAAATTATGGAAGGGATGGATAAAGTGGATAAAGGGAAGTTATTTTCCCCTTCACGCAATATCAGAACTAGGGGACATTCACTCAGACTGAGTGTTGGGAGAGTGAGAACAGACAAAAGAAAACATTTCTTTACCCAGCGTGTTGTTAGCCTGCAGAACTTCTTGCCACAGGATGTGGTGATGGCAACTCACCTAAAGGCCTTTAAAAGGGGATTGAACAGATTTCTAGAGGAAAAGTCTATCACAGGTTACAAGCCACGATGAGGATGCATAATCTCCAGGGTTAAAAGGAAGTTACCTTAAAATGCCAGTTAAAATTATCACAATAAATGAATCAATCTGATTAATTTTACTATAAAAAAATGTGCCTTCATACTCTTCATAAAAACAGCAGGAAGAGAAAGGGGTCCCAGTTGTGAGGGGAGTGCATTCTACAAACTGGAAGCTGCACAAGACAAAACCCTCTCCTACCTGTCAAGTAGGCCTAATGAGAAAACACAGAGCCTGCTGAGATATATATACATGTATAATTCTTACAAGAACTGTCAATATTGCTTGAAACATAAGGGATTTTTAAAAAAACCCTAAACCACCCACTGGGACCCAAATGTTTTCAAAAGAACAAAAATTCTTGTAAGGAGGCATGCCGGCTGAGAATAATTACAATGCTGGTTGACTCTTGGAAGGGAAAAGGAAGGAAATTAGAAGGAAACAGAATGGATTTTACAGGAGAGGGTATGTGGGCTAGGTGGCTCTCTCTAGACAGGGACACGTTGGTTGCAAGGCCCTCCTGTATTCTGTTTGCCACGCAAAATGGTTTAAAATATAATAGCAGCTTTGTTCCAACAGTCGGGCTGAACACTTTCACAAAAGGAAGCAGCTTTCTTCCCAACAGTTACCTCAGAGTAACCATTTCCCTCACACCAGAGTTTCTCTGTTACTTGACTGTGCATTTTTTGTTGATATGGTTACCTCAGTAACCACAAAACAACCCAAAGAAGCTCTGCTTCTATCCATCACTCACTATTAACAACTCCAACCCTCAAATGACTAAATGGCCAACTTGCCGCACAACCCTCTCCCCTACAAATCTCCATTCTGCTAGGGTATCCTGGAATAAAATATGCTAGAGAATACAACTATTTATTACCAGTACAAAAGCATTTACTCCCCTAAGGATTTGCTTTCTCACAGGCAAACAGCCAGTTGTACATGGGGTATTTTTATACCCTTTACTCTCCACAGTTAGCAAGTGATCTCTATCATGTTCATAAACACAAATAAATCCTTAGGGATACTGAAAAGCCAAGTGTCAAAGAAAGAAAGAAACCAAAAAGGGACACTCAAAACATCATGGTGATCTCAGGCTAAACACAGATATAAAAGGGGGACTGGGTTGTACTGAGAAAGGCCACTACAGTATTCAGTGGTCCAGTATGTATGACGAGTGGAAAAACTTAAACGCCACCCAATTTTATGTTATTTTGTTTTATTTTTTTAAAAAAACAGTCTCAAAAACTCCAGTGTGAAAGGCCCCAAGTTTACTCTTGAATTCTCCGGTAAAAGTACCCCTTAGCTCTGGAAAAAGGCTTTTGCTTGTGATTCTAGAGAACAGCTGATAGACAAGACTTGCTGAGCAGAGTGAAACACTGGCTTAAATTAGCTTCATAAACGGTTATTCCCAGCAGTGTTTAAGGCCACTCTAGCAATCCCCAGAAGGACTGAGTATGGGAGGGGATTTTCTTCTTCTTTGAATTAGTGTTTAGGCCAAGTCATAAGTATGTAGTCTTACAACTTCAGAGCTGGTCCAGCCCCTGTCAAAAAGGCACAGTGGCGAAATCGAACTCCCCACTTCTGGGTCCGTAACCAGAGACCTAAACCACAGAGCTATACATAGAACCAATAGTTCTATGTTAACTCTGTAGAATAATAAAATACTATGGTAGAATTGGGAATCAAATTAGATCCAAGGTACATCTATTTATAAATATAAAGGGTTTTTTGTTATTTATAAATATAAAAGTTATTCTGTTTTTAAAGAAAAGCCCCAATGTCTGACTGTCATCCTATGCAGAGCCATTTTCAACGTCTGGAATGAAACAAAGGATAGCATAAGTTTTTCATAAACTTTGACAGATATTACATATTTTAAAGCAGATTGCTCTGATTTAACAAGAAATACAACAGATTACCCTAAAGTGCAGAAGGCTTTGACCGGGTGATCTGTGTTATCTGCTACTTCTACTGACTAGGTGATAGCTATTGATGAGCAATTTAAGCTCAAAGATTGACTATGTGGGTGTTTAGCCTGTTGAGGATCACACATCTCTCCATATAAGCAAGCATTTCCAGTCTTTTAAGATGTGTAGGGAAGGCTTTTCTCTTGGCCTCACCATTTTTTTCAGGAAGGATGGGGATTCGAGTCAGAAGACTCTCTGTCAAGTTGAACTTGAGTCGCACGTGTGACTGTACTCAGACTTGACTCGCTTTTTCAATGACTCAGACTCAACTTGCGACACGGAACCCACCCACCCCTCCCTTTTTTAGGGGGGGGGAAGGCTTGGTTTTAACAGGGGCTCGGACTTGGGGC